TGGAAAGCGAACTCAGGCACTGACGTCTTCCTCTTGTGTTTTTCTTCTTGTAGGTCCATGTCTTGTTGTTCAGCGTGAATTTCGGCGCATAGTGCTGCTTCGAAGATCTTCCCGTGAGCTCGGAGTATGGCGCGAGTGGAGCGCCAATGAGGACCAAGACCGCCAATGACGACTGTGACGAAAGTGTCTTCTGATATCGACCCTCCGCATCGAAGGAGTTTGTCGCGCAATTCGCGACAGCGGCTGATATACGCCATCCCTTTTTCGCCCGGTTTCATTTCCACTGTTGTCAGTTGTGCCATTAGTCGACTCTGATTGACGCTGTCTGTTGCCTGATACAGGTTCTTCAGGTGGTTGTACGCGAGCTCGGCGGAGTTCCCGTATCCTCGGTAAGACCGAATGTCCTGCTGCTGGTTCGGTGTGATGTTGCGTAGTAGGATTGTATACGCCATCATGGATTGATATGTGTACTGCTGCTTGTCATATTGTGTCCCGTGCGTTGGATATGGCAGGGACCCGTTGAAGAAGCCAAGAATCTGCGCGCCTTCCATCATCAGTTCGAATTCGAATGACCAGGTAAAGAAGTCCTTTCCGTCGAACGGTCTTGACGTCTGCAGTTTTAAGACGTGCGCAAACTGCGACTGAACTTGAAGTGCATCTAGTGTCTTCTCTTGCTCAGGTGAAGGCTGCTGGCGCGGCATGAAGCTGACAGAACCGCGCTGAGGTTCGTACGGGGCGAAGGTAGGTTGTTGTTGCTGATTTCCTCGTGCGTAGGATGAACCGTCGAGGCTCATCGGTGTTGCGTTGTTGTTGTTGCTGTTGTTTGACTGCGTAGGTGCTCCTTGCTGGTGTTGTTCGTAGAAGGACATGAAGGAGAAGAATTTCTCCATCATGTCTGGGTCGAAGGCCGCGGCTTGATTTGCGGGAGTTTCGGTAGACCCAGCTGCCGGTCTTGTTGCTGTGCCCTCCTCTGTTTGTAGGCCAGAGGCAGGAGGTGGAGTAGGAGTAGTACCGGGAGAGCCGTTAGAGGAGCTTCTCTCCTTCTGCGTTGCCATGCCTTGTGACGTTATAGGTGTCTTGATTGTAGTCGAATTTGTCCTGATAGCTCTCATACCATGTTGGGCTGAGAAAAGCCCTTAGGATCTTTGCAGGACTAAATTCTGAGTAGGACAATGTAATAGCGGAAGCGTTTAATGAGAAGTTTGTGAACCACCTTGCGCTGGTATGTGAGGGCAAAGTAGATTGATTAAAACAAAGAGATACAAGCTTTTATAAGAGTACAAGGGAATATGAAGGGTTATAACTAATAACTGTTTTGCTGTTGCTGTTGCGGTTCGATACAGTGACGACTCGGGCAACTGCTCAATAACGTGTCAGTTGTTTGTCCTTGCTGTCGCGCTGTACTTGTCAGGTCAAAGGTCGCTGACCTTTGACTTTCGCGTAACCTCCAGCAGTTGTTCAACCTCCGAGGGTTGACTCGCCGGTGCTTCGCTGTGTTTCGCTTCGCTTATAACTTAGAGCGTGTTCCTACACCTCGTATCAGAAACACCTCGTATCAGTTTCGCGTGGTGAAATACGTTTCAGTGTGTTTGACTGCGGTTGGATGCGTTTTAGTGCGGTTTGACGCGAATCTGATACGAGGTTGCCTGATATGAGGCCGTAGGAACACGCTCTTAGTGCTTCGACATGACAGAGGCGCTTAAGTTACTTGTTTCCAACAAACTCGTTAAGCTTTCTGGCATTCTACGTCGTAGTCCCACAAACTACTTTCCAACTATCGCTCTTGCATGTTATATCAACCTTGCTTGTATTCTCTCATATCAACCAATTCTCATTCAACTCTTCAATTAATCGGTAAGTTCTTCGCCTATTTCGCCAATAGTTCTTTCGCCAAAGTCTTCCGCCGCGTTTTATCTTCAACTTAGTCGACCCTGCTATTCTTTAGCGGATTTAGGCCAAGGGGCCTAACAGTTTTTCAAATTTAAAACTAACAGGTGCTTATAATAAATCACGTTTTTTTAGGGGGTGCGCTTATAATTGAGGATCGGCCATAAGCGCATTGCTCCAGATAGAAGCGCATGCGCTTTTAATAGGCCTGCGCTTATATCCGGGGTGATACGGTATCCCCTTTGTATGCCCTCATCATCCAGTCATTCTGTTCTTGGCACAATTGTGGTTAAAGAACGAAAATACAGCTAAAACAAGGGGTCTAAACCCGTGTAAACCCGACAAGACCCTCCCTCGAATTGTGGACCTGGGGGTTTCTATAACGGGGGGTCCACTGACCGATGAATGCGCTATATTCTAAGACTAATGAAACACAATTAGCCTCACCACGAGCACGTGCAAGGTACCTATGCCATATAACTGTAAATGGAAAATGGGAAGGAAAACGCAAATGAACAGAACAAAAAGCGCAATCAAAACCTTGCACACCCTCAACACGCAGGTGGTGGCTGGAAAGCAGCTACCGGTAAGTGACAGATGTTTTCCAGGAGGCCCTTTTCATGTATCAGGTGCACCTTGTGGTGTCACGAAGTGTGGTTTACATCCAAACCATACAATTGTATTTCTGGTGTGGATCTATAATATCTACAGCCTGGCAAAAGACAGGGTTCTACGCCCCAGAAGCATTACTAATAGTGGTGAGGAGCCTGGCAAAAGACAGGAGTTGACAGAAAGACCAGGAGTTGTCAAAAAAATCCAGGAGTTGACTGGAAATCCAGGGGTTGAATCCAGTGAAGCATGAAAGGTAGGGTTTAAGCACAAGGGCTGCTTGGGCGAAGGAAAAGGGGAGCGTGGGGAGGGAGGAGGAGAAAAGAAAGCAGGCGGGTGGGGAAGTAGGCAAAGAGGAGAAATCAGGGTGGGTGGGGAGGGTGGAAAAGAGGAGAAAGAAGGGTGGTTCGGGAGGGAGGAAACAAGGAGAAATAGGGAGTGTAGGAGGGAGGAGGAGAAGAGAAAGCAGGGTGGGTGGGTGGGGAGGTAGGGAAAGAGAAGAAAGCAGGGTAGGTGTGGAAAGCATGGTGCGAGGGGAGGGAGGAAGAAAGGAGAAAGGAACGAGTGGGATCCTTGCAAGGTGAAGACAGAAGGGAGCACAATAGATAAGTGAAGTGCTGGCAAAAGCAAACAGCCATGCACTGTGCTGCTACTTCTCCTGTTGCCTCTACCCCTTCCTCTGCTGCGGCCTCTCCTGTTAGCTGTGTTCTGACTGTGTTGCTGGCTCATTCAACTCCAATCACCCAGGAACTCTTACTCCCCCACTTGCTCCTTTCCCTCTCTTTCTCGCATGCACTCTTCAAGCACACACACACTCACCTGGCCGTGCATTTGCTCCAAAATCTCTGCCTCTCCCAGTGCTCTTCCCTCCCTCGCCCACCCATAATCCCTCTCATGCCTGTGCAATCAGTCCCCACCCGCTACCCACTCTTGGAGCACCACCAACCCAGCCAGCCTGCTTCCACTGCTCCACACCACTTCCCAACGCCTCACCTACTGTCCCATATATACCTGGCCAGCCTCCTCCTCACCTGCCTGCTTCTGAGACATCACAAAGGCTTTCTACCTCACCTGGCAGGGCAATCAGTCCCCTCCCACCACGCACTCAAGGTCATGAGAAACCCAGCCGGCTTGGGCCGTCCCACTGCAGAATGACACCGTCAATGAAAGACCTGAGCTGGCCACACTCGTCAGGAAGATCTGAGCAGCGTGCCGCCGACCCAGCTGGCCTGCTCCCACTGCTCCCACTGCCCCCCCTGCGCGCGCTGCTCCCCTTGCTCCCACCCACATCACTCGCCCCAATCTTCCACCCACCCGTCCCAGGCCGGGACTCCCGGCTTACCTGGCCGGCTCTCTTCCTCACCTGGCTGGGCATTCAAACCCCAAGAGCCAAGAAGGACTCGAGGCCACGGTGAACCCAGCCGATTTTTGAGGCGCCTCAAAAATACTCCCGGCTTACCTGGCCGGCTCTCTTCCTCACCTGGCTGGGCATTCAAACCCCAAGCGCCAAGACGGGCTCGAGGCCACGGTGAACCCAGCCGATTATTGAGGCGCCTCAAAATTACTCCCGGCTTACCTGGCCGGCTCTCTTCCTCACCTGGCTGGGCATTCAAACCCCAAGAGCCAAGAAGGACTCGAGGCCACGGTGAACCCAGCCGATTTTTGAGGCGCCTCAAAAATACTCCCGGCTTACCTGGCCAGCTCTCTTCCTCACCTGGCTGGGCATTCAAACCCCAAGAGCCAAGAAGGACTCGAGGCCACGGTGAACCCAGCCGATTTTTGAGGCGCCTCAAAAATACTCCCGGCTTACCTGGCCGGCTCTCTTCCTCACCTGGCTGGGCATTCAAACCCCAAGAGCCAAGAAGGACTCGAGGCCACGGTGAACCCAGCCGATTTTTGAGGCGCCTCAAAAATACTCCCGGCTTACCTGGCCGGCTCTCTTCCTCACCTGGCTGGGCATTCAAACCCCAAGAGCCAAGAAGGACTCGAGGCCACGGTGAACCCAGCCGATTTTTTAGGCGCCTCAAAAATACTCCCGGCTTACCTGGCCGGCTCTCTTCCTCACCTGGCTGGGCATTCAAACCCCAAGAGCCAAGAAGGACTCGAGGCCACGGTGAACCCAGCCGATTTTTGAGGCGCCTCAAAAATACTCCCGGCTTACCTGGCCGGCTCTCTTCCTCACCTGGCTGGGCATTCAAACCCCAAGCGCCAAGATGGGCTCGAGGCCACGGTGAACCCAGCCGGCCTGGCCGTCCCATGACAGAACGACACAGTCGACTTGGCACTCGCGGGGGACGAGCTCATCATGAGCAGCGCGCGGGCCGTTGGAGCGCAGGCGTTGTTGCCGGAGAAAGGGGAGGCGCAGAAGAGGACGGTCATCCGCCTGCTGCTCTCCGCAAAGGCAACGAGAGCGCCGCCGAGTCCGCAGGCTGTAACGGAGCCTCTGAGGACCGAATTGGCTGTGTTGTTGGTGAAGCTGACTCCATGAAAGTAGAGTGATGTTCCTAGAGAGAAGATGGCCCCTCCAGCCCCAACTGGTTGAGCGGGAAGGGTGGGAGGTTGGGATGGGGCGCAGGGGGGTGGTTGATGCGATGAGGGCCTGTTGTTGGTGAAGCTGCCTTCGTGGAAGTAGAGGGAGGCACCTCCAGAAGAGGCATTCCTTAGAAGAGGAGTCCCTCTGACATGTCTGGATGATGGAAGAGAGAGATGAGGTAGGGCGGTGGGCTTCAATCCCATCGGTTTGAGGTAGAGAGATGAGTTAGGGAGATGAGATGAGACCCTACTGGTCTTGAAACCATCTCGCACAAGGGTGGGATTCACTCCCATCGGTTTGAGTTCTGAAAAGACTCTATTGTCACCACTGCTCACAGGCATGCCCACACATCCACACACACACACACACACACACCCACATCCACACATCCACACATCCACACATCCACACGCACAGAAACACATGCACAGAAACACACGCACACACACACACATACACACACACAAACACACACACACACACACACACAGAAACACACGCGCGCGCGCGCACACACAGAAACACACGCGCGCGCGCGCACACACACACACACACACACGCACAGAAACACACGCACACACACACACACACTCACCGGCACTATTCCCATCAAACGAGCACGACTTGAACCGAAGGCTGCCAGTCCCGCTAACCGCAATCACCCCTACCTTGCTCATGGGCGCACTGTTGTCTCGGAAGACACAGCTCACAAACGACGTAGCAGGCACGCTCCGCTCGGGGCTCTCCCCGTTGATGACGATTGCCCGTGTGTTGTTGCGGAAGGTGCATTTCGAGAAGAGGCGGCTGGGAGGGGTGACTGCTGCAGGGAAGGAGTCACTGGTGGGTTGGGGTGGGTTGGGGGTAGAATTGAGTGTGTTAAGGTGGAGAGGTTTGCTGCTATGGAAGGTGCAACAAAAGAGGCGGTAGAGAGTGATGGCTGTTGCATTGAAAGGGGAGAGAGGAGAGATGAAAGGGGAGAGAGGAGAGATGAAAGATCATTTTGTTTTGCTACTAATAGTCAATGTGGCATGCTCCCCTCCGCCACTTACACTCGCATGCGCCCCACTCACACTCACATCCGCCTCACAGAATCACCTGGGCACCCCTCTCCCTCCCTCATCTACCCCACACCACTCGCACTTGAGCAACCTTGTCACTCCCATGTCCCCCCAACACTCCGCTTCCCTACCTGAGCACACCACCGCTAGGAGCCGTGTTGTTGGCGAATTCGCATCCAGTCACGTTGATGGTCGCCTGCACGTTGCGAAAGACGCCTCCTGTCAACCCCACGAAGCTGAGGTTGACCAGAGTCAACTGCCCCCCCGTGGGGCCGGACGAAGGGGAGGTGAATATGGGGAAGGCACTATTCGCGTTGATGATGCACCTGTGTTGGAGAGAGGGGAGGGCGAATGCGCACGAAGAGAGAACGGCGGAGGGAAGCGGGTTGGAGAGATGGTTGGCAGAGAGGAGATGGCTGGCAGAGAGGTGGCTGGCAGAGAGGTGGCTGGTTGGAAAGCAATGGCGATGCAAGCAGCAGCAGCAAGCGTGGCTTTTGAGGCGTCTCTGCAGTTGCTGCAAGTGCGGCTTAGCTTGTTGTTGCCAGCTGGCGTCAAGGTTTGCCGGCTAGACTGCCATCGCGCCCTATAGTTCGTAACCCTACAGCACGCCTGGCAACCCTACAATCATCCTGGTAACCGTACTGTAACCTACACTAACTGTGATAGTAACTGCACCCTTCTGGACTGTACCACTGGAGAGGAGAGAGCGGCGGAACAAAGCGGGTTGGAGAGATAGGGAGAGAGGAGATGGCGGCGCAGAGAGTAATTGCACCCTTCTGGACTGTACCACCGGTAGGATAGCCCTTGAGGGCCAGTCCTATTGGGGTCCCGATTTCCGACCTGACACACTGAACCTACCATTCCCAAGTGACCCTACTATCACCTGGTAGTACCACTGGTAACCCTACTACCACCTGGTAACCCTACTAACCACCTGGTGACTCTATTACCACCTGGTAACCCTACTACCACCTGGTAACCCTACTACCACCTGGTAACCCTATTACCACCTGGTAACCATACAACCACTTGGTGACTCTACTACCACCTAATAACCCCACAAACCACTAGGTACACCAACAAACTTGTACCACCCACCACCTGGTAACCCTGTTACCAACCTGGAAGCAGTACACGCGCTCCTGACAATCAGCTTGGCTGCGCCTGAGAGTGCGGGGAGGGGGCTGGGGGGAGGAGAATGGGGCGGGTTGGGGTAGAGGGAAGAAGAGCGAGTGGGGAGAGGAGTAGGAACATGTGAATCTCCTTAGTCGACTTAAGCAAGTGGCGAGACAAAGTGGGTCAAAAATGATGGGACAAGCACATGATAGGAAAAGGCATGCTTGATGGCATGAGAGGCGCGACCCATGATGGGATGGGACCCATGATGAGGCGTAAATCCTGACTCTTAGTGAGTTGGATAACGCGAGCTTCCTTTGAAGAAGTTACTGGCGTTCGTGGCATGCGTTGCGCGGCGAGACGTGACACGGGTAGACGTGGATTGATCGTGGGGAACTCACGCTGTGAGATACACGTTGGAGGTGAGGTTGAGCTCAGTGGGCGACGCGGCTGCTCCTCCCTGTATTCACCCGCCACGTCGACACAAACACGCACATGGGTGAAGGGCAAACGTTTATTCGGCGCGGCGAATGCCGTGGTTCGGCCATCCGCGTCTCAACCCTTGGTCTAGTTTCAACTGCCAACTGAATGTCAACAGACCGCCACACGACTCGACGCCGTGGTGACGGTAGAACACGCCGGGGCGTGACCCCACACATTCAAAGTTGGCGACGGCAGAATCGCAGAATCGCAGATTCTCCTATTTATGATGTGATGATACTACTACTATGTGCGCTACTTCGCACCACGACGATGAAACTATCCATCCCCGGAAGGAGATGACGTGCGCCGCACGGCGTACCGCGTTCGCCCGCTTGATGGCTTCTCCGAGTGTCAACGCCGCGATAGCCTCTGGACCGCAGATCATCCCAGTGACTAGCGATGCGACGAAGAAGGAAATGATGTGCTGGCGCGCGGTGATTGGTTCCCTGTCACAACCCATCCTGATCCTGACGGAAGTAGTGACCGATTAGTTTTGACTGAAGATCATCACCAAAATTGTAAGGTCCGGAAACGGTCCTACTCCAGTCCGGATCCGATAAGGGTCCGAATAGATGCAAATAGGACCTGAAACGCACCTGCATGTCTGGGTGAAGTGTCCTAACAGGATCCTTCTTGCTTCCGCGTCAGTTTGGCACATGGAGGATCCTCTCGGTGACCCAACCAACAGACTAGGTACACCCTGTCAAAATAGCATGTAAATGGACAATTACGCATGCACTACACTGTAGAGCCCAAATTCCCAGTGCAATTCTGTTGTGATGTAAAACTACCAAACTAACAGGTCTGAACTCCAAAAGCCACATGGTCACGGGCGTTCCACTCATTTGTCAAGCGCAAACCAACCTACACGGTTCAAAATCAAGTAAACCTGTTTATGTCACCTAGAAAATAAAACGGTTCACTACGAAGTAGCGAGGATCAGTGCAGGAACGCACAATGTGAGCGAGAGAGAGGATGGAGTCAAGCTCAATCACTGAAAACGCATTCTCCCCCACTGTTGGGGATAGCCTCTTGCAGCCCGTGGCAGGGCAGCAGCGCTCCTCCTCGTCATAGTACCTCACAAACGCACGCTCGTGCGCCATCCCTGCGCTGTCCATGAAATGGAAGAGGATGAGACACTGGCCGTACCACACGTTCCGCCTAGCAGCAATGGCAATGTGAGAAAAGAGCGGCTGCGCCGGGGTGGCCTTCACAAACTGCCCCCGCGAGGTCCACTCCATGCGGTTGTGTGGCGGGATCGCTAGCGCCGTGTGCGCCTGCATTCACGAGAAATTGAGAAGGGACGTTCAGGATTTGGACGCCCAGAGTCCGCACATTTGGATGGATGCAACAAACCACAAACAAACGACGATTACATGGCGTAAAACAATGCAAACATTTACACACGTAAAGGGTGCGCGTGGTGACACGCGCCGCCCTCAATGCACCGGGTAGCGCAGCTAGCGCCACATGTCCAAGTTGGGAGAGATACTCAGAGTAGCACCTGTCCGTGGTGTCCCCAACGAGGAGTCGCCTGCTTGTTCGCGTGAGGACACGGCGCTGCCCCTCGGTGGCCTGGTGGGTTCCACACGGAATGGGAACACACAACACTGGGGATTAGCATCAGAACCACAGTATGGGAGAATGACGGTCAAGCCATGCAACTCGCAATGAGGGTGAGTGCAAAGTACCTCACCTGGTGCATGGCCGTGACGTACACCGCATCACCCCCGCTCTCCCTCGCCAGCTCTTTGGCGGCGGCCAGCTGCACATGCTTCTGCACTATGCGCTCCGTTGCGTTTCTCCAGTTGCCACCGCGAGCCGGCCGCTTCACGGTTGTCTTGTGCGTGTGCTCGTACAGATTGGTCGAGTACTGGAGCGGCATGCCCCGGTCCCGGATCGTCGCAGAGAGATGGGACAGCAGGTGGACCTTCACGAGCCTCCACTCTGAACGCTGCTTCGGGTACGCTATCACGTGCGCCTCCACCACCCTGCACGAATGCAACCCGGTAGTAAAAAGGCTTGCTGTAAGTCCGCATTAGACATAAAATGAAAGGTTAAAAACTTCTTCCTTAATCAGCCATTCGTATGGTTTAGCCATAAAGTGGGTTGAATGAGCAGAATCGGCAAGGGATCTTGGTACATACCTGGTTGTCAAGGCCTCCACCTCGACGAGCGACTCATCAGTGTGGAAATCGACCCGGAAGCAGGCGGCATACCACTCCGAGAACAGCACGGTGGCGCGTGCGATGTCCTCGCGCTCCGGGAGATGTGCTATCAGCGGCATAATCTGCATCATCCCCCGGTGTTCTGCTGCCGAGAACGAGGCGGCCGTCGCCAGGTAGGACGAGCCGGACGGGGTGCGCATCACGGACGGCGGCGTCTGCTCGCGTACATCAGCGTAGAACCTGCCGTGTGGGTGGGAGTTAAGATGGTAGCATGTGATGCATCGATCACACGATGAGCATGGAAACGGTGCAGAGTCCAATAATATGCAAGTCCGACAAATATTAGATCCTCCCAGTACTCACGCCATGAGAATCAGCTTCTCTGTTGGTGTGAGTGTTGCGACCAGGCACTTCATGGAGTGCAGCCAGAACCCCTCGTCCACCACATGCATGATGTCCAATGGGACGGCACGGTATATGTTGCCCCACAAGGTCGTCGAGAATGCCCAGTCCCACAAGATGCACTGCACGGTTGAGGAAACACACAAAGCCGATGCGGTCAGAGCATTCGCACTCTCAAAGCGACATGTAGCAGAAGAATGGTGCGGAGATCCAACGGCTTCTACATTCACAGTGTATAGTCCCGCCGTACCTTAACGAAATGTGTAGAATAGGCCTTCACCAAGGCCCGTCGATCCGGAGGGGTTGCACCTTCCATGAGCTCATGAGCATCCTGCTGATCTTCCACCGTCCGCCAAGCGATGGCAGGCGCAACCACAGCTAGCTGCGTGCGCTCTACAAAGCACGAGGAGCATGGATGCTGCGACGAGGAGGACATCGTGCAAGTAACTTTGCACGACTCTGGATAATCGCACACATATGCGTACAGCAGCGGGAAAACCACATAGGCGGCACCAGTGTGATCGGTCACCGTTAGCCCGCCGCTGTGACAAAACCAGAACATAGACCATTAGAGCTGGCACTCGGGGTGGGATACAACGCGGCTTAGGGTTCTACTGCACACGGAAAGCACGGTCTCCTACCTCTCTGGGGAAGACAGTGCGATGACCGGCCCGAAAACTATTTTGAGGGCCTCCTGGAAAATCCGGATCTTCTCTTCGGGAGCCATGTCCGAAGGTAATGGTGGGAAGAGAGCCACGACCTCCGTGCCTCCGGTCTTCCATCTCTCTGACTCGGGTATGTTCGCGAACGACACGACAAACGGGTGTGCCGTCTGCCTACCGTTGACCGTGAGATTTGTCGCGTCACTGAAGATGATTAGAGCGAGCACAAATCCGAGCGCTCTGACGGCGGCCTGCAGTTTCAACACATATAGAAACATCAAGCAAGGTACTATGATAGTAGCAGAGAGGCAAGTCACGTGAGCCTGAGGCGGATTCAATGCTTCGCGCTTCCTATTCAATGCTTCGCGCTTCCTATTCAATAGTTGCTTCGCACAAGTTGTGCTATGGGAGGAACTATCCCTGCTTGAGAAAATGTGAAGTGCCAGAACTGGTAGTAGGGGCACATGTGCAAGATCTTCAAAGAACTCACAACGCGTCGGTAAAGCTTTTGCGACCGAACCATTATTGATCTCCATGGAGGGCTCAATCGCTAGGGCGCAACCTTGGGCCCATTCCACCGCATCGCAGGGTTTGCAGTCCTGCGTGCCTAGCGCCACGCCGCGAATGGCGGCCAGGGAAGTGGGAGGATGCATCGGACATGCGCCCCGATTTCGTGTATGGAACGGACGTCGACCGTCGACTCGCTGGATGCTATGGATGATGCTGAGTACTCTGAACGAACACGCGCTGGCGTCTGCGCAAAAACGGGGATTGGTTGGATAGTCGCGCCAGCCACGGGCATTTGGATTCAGCAATGACGTGGCTCCCACCTGAAACCTCCCCTGGCCTGGCATTGCGAGTCGCAGAAACAACAACTCGCGCTTCTCGCAGTTGCCCTGAATTTGGCTGAGCAGTGCAAAACTCGCCATGGCAGATGAGGTGAAAGTCATGCCCCCTATGGCGAGTCCCGAACACACGTACTCGCAGAGTACCCTAATCCCGTATCATAAAAAAGGATAATCGATGTCGCATTTAGCTCCAGCTAGTCTCGTTTGAACGAACTTCAGAAACACCCCCCAAGGGTGTGTGCCATGGTAACTTGTTTCTGCTGGAAAAGAAAGCATTAGCTTCGATTTCACAAATATAATTCCAGGAAACACCTTCAGTAACCCATTTCAGCGATTTCATGTGTCATGGAAATGAAGAAGTTTGTATTTTTACAGTCTGCTAATGAAGCACCATCATGCTCGCTACCAGCACACAAGAAGAATGCATCGTACAAGCTTAAGAGGGAATGAACAGAAACAAATACTAATGACAAAAAAGCATGCACAAATGTTTGCACGCCCTCAAGGTGGGGGCACTGGATCCACAGCATAGCAGCTATTTTATGACACACTTTTATCAAGGGAAACTTCACACATTGAGAACCTTATCAATGTTGTTACGGGGACTGGTATTTGTCCATATCACGCACACTTGTAGCTATATACTGCCGTACTCGTTACAGTCGCATGCTTCAGAAACAGGACTGTTGGTGAGCATGAGGTTAGGAGCCAGCGGAAAAGACATGAGTTGACTGCGGTGAAGAATGAAAGGCGGTAAGAGGTGACTTTTGAGTCGACTCAAAAGTAAGGACTGCTGGTGAGCATGAGGTTAGGAGCCAGCAGAAAAGCCAGGAGTGGACTGGAGCGAAAAGTGACAGGCAGGGATCAAGCACAAGTCCCGCTTGGACAGAGGAAACGGGGAAGAGGAAAAAGGGGTGGGAAGCGAAAGATTTGTTTTCTGTTAGGAAGTGGCGACTAAAGAACGACAGCCAAGGTATCAAGAACACGTGTTGAGTGGATGCAGAGAAAGACTAAGGTTGGGGTCGGAGAAAGTGCGAAGAAAGCAAGGGGGGTGGGGAGGAAGATGTGGGGAGGGAGGAAGAGAGGGGTAGAGAAAGAAGTGGAGCCACGTGAGGGGAAGGCGGAAGGAGCACGGGGAAGAAGTGGGGTATGGGCGACAAGAAGACTGCCATGCACCGTGTGCTGCTGGCTGTGCTGCTGAGTGTGCTGATGACTGAGCTTGATCCCTTTACCCAAGTTCTCTTCCTTCCTCCCCACTCGTTTCCTTCTCTCTCTCCTCCTCGCACACCCTTCAACCACCCACACACTCTCACCTGGCTGTGCACTGGTTTCCCCCCGCCATCCACTCTTAGGCACCACCACCCAGTCGCCCTGTTCCCACTGCGTCACAGCACTCCCGCCCCAGATCCTCACCCTTGAACCTTTCAACACTCTTTACCCATCTGTACTCTCCTCTCACCTGAGTTTGCACCGGCTCCCCACCCGCCACCCACTCTTGGGATACCACCGACCCAGCTGCCCTACTCCCACCGCTCCCACTGCAATCGCTCCCAACCCATTCCTCACCCACTCTTCCCCATGTAGCCAACCTGCCTTCTCCCTCACCTGGCTGTGCACTTGCGCGCTTCCGACCACCCTGCGGTCTCGATACGCTCCGTTGGCTTGAAACCGTCACAAAACGTCACCGTCGGTGGGATATCCCCGATGTGCCTCTCCAGGTACAGCGTGCCGAGGTCTGGTTGTGCAGTGCAGCCCCAGTTGTTTTGAAACAAGAAGGTGCAGAAGCGGACAGACACTTGGCTGGGGCGTCCTGAGATGGCGTGCATAGCGCCGCCAGAGCCACAGGTGCCACGGGATGGGTTGTGCGCACTGTTGTTCTTGAAGTGGACACCAATGAGAGAGAGGGAGACTCCGTCCGAGTGTATGCCTCCCCCAGATGCACCTTGAGGGTGGGAGGGAGGGAGAGTGGGTGGGGATAGAGGAAGTGATTGAGCCGCAAGGCCAAACGCCTATTCTGGAAATGAGGGTGTGAGGGTCTGAGACGGAGTAAGCAACAGCGGGGGGGAGACTTGAGGAGAAGGATCGGGCAATGGAGGTGGCGCATTCATCTACAGACGCGCATCCACACAAACGGGCACACATCCACACAAACGGGCACACATCCACACAAACGGGCACACCTCCACACAAACGGGCACACCTCCACACAGACGGGCACACCTCCACACAGACGGGCACACCTCCACACAGACGGGCACACCTCCACACAGACGGGCACACCTCCACACAGACGGGCACACCTCCACACAGACGGGCACACCTCCACACAGACGGGCACACCTCCACACAGACGGGCACACCTCCACACAGACGGGCACACCTCCACACAGACGGGCACACCTCCACACAGACGGGCACACCTCCTCACAGACGGGCACACCTCCACACAGACGGGCACACCTCCTCACAGACGGGCACACCTCCACACAGACGGGCACACCTCCACACAGACGGGCACACCTCCACACAGACGGGCACACCTCCACACAGACGGGCACACCTCCTCACAAACGGGCACACCTCCACACAGACGGGCACACCTCCACACAGACGGGCACACCTCCACACAGACGGGCACACCTCCACACAGACGGGCACACCTCCACACAGACGGGCACACCTCCACACAGACGGGCACACCTCCACACAGACGGGCACACCTCCTCACAGACGGGCACACCTCCACACAGACGGGCACACCTCCTCACAGACGGGCACACCTCCACACAGACGGGCACACCTCCACACAGACGGGCACACCTCCTCACAGACGGGCACACCTCCTCACAGACGGGCACACCTCCTCACAGACGGGCACACCTCCACACAGACGGGCACACCTCCTCACAGACGGGCACACCTCCTCACAGACGGGCACACCTCCTCACAGACGGGCACACCTCCACACAGACGGGCACACCTCCACACAGACGGGCACACCTCCACACAGACGGGCACACCTCCACACAGACGGGCACACCTCCACACAGACGGGCACACCTCCTCACAGACGGGCACACCTCCACACAGACGGGCACACCTCCTCACAGACGGGCACACCTCCACACAGACGGGCACACCTCCACACAGACGGGCACACCTCCTCACAGACGGGCACACCTCCTCACAGACGGGCACACCTCCTCACAAACGGGCACACCTCCTCACAAACGGGCACACCTCCTCACAAACGGGCACACCTCCTCACAAACGGGCACACCTCCTCACAAACGGGCACACCTCCTCACAAACGGGCAAACCTCCTCACAAACGGGCACACATCCACCAGCGTTGTTATTTTCAAACCGACACCCCTTGATACGAATGCTGCCAGTCCCCGACACTGAAATCGCTCCTCCGCGGCCGTTGAGTGCTCTGTTTCCCTGGAAGGTGCAGCCCTCAATCAACAGAGCAGGCACGCTTCCCTTGGGGTTCTCTGCGTTGATGCTGATTGCGCCACCCCTTCCGGTTGACGCCGTGTTGTTGCGGAAGGTGCAGCCTGAGAAGAGGCGGTTGGGAGGGGTGGCTGTTGCAGGGAAGGAGTCTCTGGTGGGATAGGGTGGGTAGGGGGTAGAGGAGAGCGTGTTAATTGAATGAGGTGTGCTGCTGTACAAGGTGCAAAGAGGGAAGCAGGGGAGTGATATGTAGTCCCGAGAAGGGGTTGCTGGTGGGTTGGGGAAACGTTACAGGAGGATGGAGGGGGAGGTAGGGGAGGTGTTAGGGTATTGGGGGCCCATCATTCAAAACTTCCCCGACAAGTTTTCGTGTGAAGTGCAGCATGAGAAAAGACCAGAATAACTCAAGACGACTCAAAGAATACTCAAGCATGCTGATAGTAGATGTAGCATGCTTCCAGGTCCCACACACACTCACATGCACCACACACATTCTCGCACGCACCACACACACTCTCACATCCACCACACGCACTCTCACATCCACCACACGCAATCTCATAAGCGCCACGCACACTCTCACATGCACCACACGCACTCTCACCTGAGCGGCCCTCTTGCTCCCTCATCTTCCCTCCATGTCCCTCAATAGAGCACCCTCCTCACTTTAACATCTCCCCCCCCAACATTTCAATCCCATACCTGAGCACCCCTCCGCTAGGAGCCATGTTCATGACGAATCCGCATTTGCTCGCGTTGATCGCTGTCTGCACGTTGAAAAAGACGCCTCCTGCCGCCCGCTGGAAGTTAAGGTTGAACAGAGTCAACAACCCCCCAGGGGGGTTGGACGAGGGGGAGGTGAATATGGGGAAGGCGCCTTCCCCGCTGATGATGCACCTGGCGTCGGGGAGTTGGGGGGAAGTGGTGCAAGAAGATGATTGGACTTCCACTGTACCCCAGCTGGTAACCCTGAAACCTGCCTGGCAACCCTATTAGAACTGCCACTGGCTGTGAAAGCAAATGCACCCACTTGTGACTGTAACAGCCAAAGTGGGGCCCAGACCACCGCCCTGACCCACTAAACCGACCATTCCCAAGTGACACTACTACGTCTTGGTAACCCAGTTAGAAACCTGGTGGCCATACATTTGCCAATGATGGTCAGCTTGGCCGCGCCGGAGAGTGCGGGGAGGGGGCTGGGGGAGGAGAGGGGGAGGAAAGGGGAAAAAGGAAAGGGTGGTAGGTTGGTTGGGAGGAGGGGGAGGGGGGAAGCTAGAGGAAAGAGGGGGGAAAGAGATTGTGGGGAGGGGAGAAGCAAGGATAGAAAGAGTGGGCTCGAAATGAGGAAAATCATATTACAGACGGTAGGGCTTACTTGATGGAGGCGTGTCCATGGTCGGTACCTAACAAACTGGCATGAGGTGGCAAACGCAGACAGACGCGGCATGTGCAGACGTGGACTCGTGAAGAACTTACGCTGTGAGGTGCACGTTAGATGTGAGAACGAGCTCTAAGGGGGACGCGCGTGCTCCTCTCTGAATTCACGCCACGTGGACACAAACAAACACACACACGTAGAGGGTGGATGGTCTTAAATTCCTGAAACTCTCTCATGCGTTTTACATTCGGTTAAAAAACTCCAAAACCAGCTAGCTACTGTGCTAGCACGAAAACTGTGCGGCATACTACGGCGTCGCTAGAATATTGAAACATCCGAATCCCTCGCATGAAGCTCAGCTCCTGATAAAGATCTCCTAGTGAGGAATTCTCTAATAAATCACGAGGGGCCCCAACCCATCCCAACGGGTAACCGACACCGCGTCATACGGGCTTGTACGCGCGATTCGGAGCTCCAGAACGACTAGCGTATTGGAAAAATTGTACCCCCGAGCTCGCCTTGCTGATGTCGTTTTCCAGTTTTCCTCGCTCCGCTTGATGATAGTACTACTAATATGCCTATACTAATAGCTGCGCGACTGTATCTGTGAGGCTATCGATGTGAAACTAGTACTATCTTAGTATTAGTAGTACCTGGTTTGCCCTGTTGATGGCATTCTCCAGTTCCGACGCCCCGATAGTCGCGGGACCGCAGATTATCCCAATGACTAGCAATGAAACGAGGAGGGAAGCCGCGTGCTGGCGTGCTGTAATTGATTCCCTGTCGAAACCCATCCTTTAGCCGGTACTACTACTAGTACTAGGTGACTGAAGATAGTATTTAGTAGACAAGAAACTCGGATAGCAACAATGCTCCGCACTCGTGCTAGGAGCAGCTATTCTTGAACCAAAGTCGAGACACGAGCTAGTAAGCTGGGATCTTTGTTTCTGAGATACTCGCAACTGTACTGAACCATTTATCTTCATCGCGGCTTGGGCTCAATCGCTAGGGCGCAACCTTGGGCCCATTACACCGCATCGCAGGGTTTGCACCTGCCTAGCGCCACGCCGCGAATGCCGGCCAAGAGAGTGGGTGGACATCGGACATGCGCCTCGATGTCTGTCGACACGACGCAAACTACAGAACGAATGTCGATCGTCGATCGTCTGGATGATGCTGGGCACTCTGAACTGAACACGCGCTGGCGTCTGTGCGAAACGGGGTTTGGCTAGATGGTCGCGCCAGCCACGGGCAATTGGATTCAGCTGTCGATGACGTGGCTCCCACCTGAAACTTCAACCTAGCATTGCGAGTAGCAACACACCCGCGCTTATCACGGTTGCCCCAAATTTGCGTTGTTGTGTTGTGAGCAGTGCAAAGGTTGTCACAGCTGAGTCGAGAGAAACTCTCTCTTATGGTGGTTCCCGAAAAGAACATCGTACTCACCAATGCCCTACCCAACTATTTTAAATATAAAAATTAAGCTCTCAAAATCCTCTCCTTCTAACAAGTTTTTTAAATAACCACCAAAGGTTTGTGCCATGTTTTATTATTTATGGAGAAGATAACACCAGGGTCGCTGATATCATTCAGCCAAAAGTGTAAAACAAAGCTATGATAGGGTTACAAGAACGTTGAAAACAAGCCTCATGTTACGAGGGTAAAAGATCCTAGGGTGTGGCATATCAAAGTACGCATTTCCTGATTTGTATGTGATATTAGTGGCTAGGTAGAGGTGGACTATACGGGGCACATATTTGCGTATATTTGTGTACCTTATAATGTTACTTCATTCATTCATAAAGTTTAACATGGTATCAGGTCAGCCGCTTCCGGCACGCCTACTCTAACTACCCTAGTAACGTCCAGGGCCAGTGCTAGGATTTCGGGCATCCTGAGCCTTCAAGGCAACTTATGACAAATCTTTAAAATGCCCTGATTTTTCAGGGCAAGTTTTTAAGGCTATCCTGAACTTTCTGGGCACCAACTTCAGTTCATCCTGATCTCTCAGGGCAACAAAATCACAAGATATGAGAGAGGTGGAGGGGAAGGCACGATATGGCTGGAAAGCCCGGTGCATGCATGGTCCGGTACGACGAGGAAGTGGCGGGAGGAGACAAAACCAGTACACACACCCCCACGCCCCTTCCCGCCTCTCCCCCATCCCTCCCCCCCCCCCCCCCACCCCCACACCCTTTCCCCTTCTGCATATGCGTCAGGGTAGTCCTCTACCTTTGTCCTGATGCTTCAGGGCAAAATCTCACGGCCTTCCTGAAATTTCAAGGCTCAACAAAAAAAATCTTGAAGTGACTGGGTAAAATATACCATCATCCAGAAATTGCAGGGAAAACACCTGACACTATCCTAAAATCAGGGTAATCAGTATGTTTTACCCTGATATCGTGGGGCCTGGTAACGTCCCCCTGCCCCGCCCCTAGTGCGCCCACCTAGAGCACCTCATCGCGCCCCTTGCGCGCCCTCCTAGAGCTCCCCGACGCGGTCCCTTAGAGCGACCCCGCTGCCCCTGTCAGCAGCGCCCCTGCTGTGGCCTTAGAGCGCTCCCCATTGCAGCCCCTTAGAGCACCCCCGTCGCGCCCGTCAGCAGCGTCCCCACCGTGCCCCTATAGCACCCCCTATCGTGATTCCTTAAAGGGCGCCCCCCGTCTTGACGTTACGCCGAATTGGGGGGCACCGACTTGTGGAAGTCGGCGGCCTCCTTTGGTTGACCGTATAACATGGCTGACGAAGTTCTGCGGGGTGCGCGACCGACGCCCAGGAGGTTTTGGCGAGGCCAACCTCGGGCTGGTATCCCGAGGTCGATGTGGCTCTTCATGCGCAACCGTCAGCATGTGGCCGACTTAACACCTGCGCAATGATCGTGGCGATGTGCGACCTGCACAACGTCTGAAAGCACACGCGAAGTAGGTGCGCACACATGCGCTTACAGTCACCTGCGGTTGCAACGCTGGCAAGTCACCTTGGTGAAGCGTAGGCAAGCCGCCCTGGTGCAGTGCTGGTAGGTCACCGACTTGCAGTTCTGGCAAGCCGCAATCAAGCTGCGTTGGCGGGCCGCCGACTTGCTACGTTGGTAGGCCTCCAACTTGCTGTGTGCTGGCTGACCTGTCTGTGTGCTAGGCAAACCCTGCATCTGATGTAGTCAGTGCTGCCTTTGCCATTGCTACCATTGTTCCCAACTTTGCTAGTGAAACTCTTGCCAGCTTTCACCATGAATGCACAAGGGCTTAAGAACGCAAGGAATGCTACAATCACTCATACCACCCGTGCCTTCCCATAGTCTAGCTCCCACCGGTGTAGATTGACTCTCCGCACCGGCTGTCCACGTTGCTCGCCTGCAATAACAGCACACCATCTTGCTGCTGCCCCCACCTACCTTTGCACGTGTCGCTACCGGTAGTACCTGGCGTGCACCTGCAATTGCACCTACTGCCATGCCTGCTCTTACAGTTTGTGATATCTTGTTGTCTCTCTCCTCCTCCTCCTCCTATGGCTGCTTCTTCCTATGGATGCTTCCTCCTACTGTAGCTGTGGTGTGTGCTGTTATGGCGATTGTCTCTGTCTTGTGGTTCAATGCATAGTGACGTGCTATCGACTTCGTTGGGTGGCTCCTCAACGTCAAGCTGTATCGTAGAGCCAGCTTTTGCATGACATCCCTTTGTACGACCATGTTTCAAATGAGTTTCTGACCCAGCCAAGTCCTCCTACTCTTACTAATGACGCCACGTCAGCCCAGAAGGAGGAGAACCTGACGTTTTTTTGCGAGTCTGTCTATTTTAACACTCTTTTCCCTCACTAAGGTACCTCAGTTCCGTCCCTGTTGACGGGAAAGTGGCCCACCCTCACTGGGGCAAAGCAACTTTGCACTCGGGTGTGCTTGGGGCAGTGGTCGACGTCGACCTAGAAGGAAGTCGACAGCTGACGTCGACTTCGACGAGACCACTGCGAGGTGCGAAGAATATAAGAATGACTAAGAAATGAACAAACAAGGGTAGATATAGCAAACCTAACACTAACCCTAGCAGAAATGTACACCACCTAGACTAGAACATACAAACAATATAAAATGAGTTTGACACACCACCATAGTTTAGGTGATGGTAGTACAGTGGAAACGAGGCAAATCTCAAGGTGGATCACGAAGTCATCACATAGTCCGAGAGTAGTGGTCACAGGGCCAGGCAGCAAGAACAAGCAATGGTCACAAGACCAGTAAACAAGAACAAGCAACAAAGAACAGATGCAACTCACGGTGGATCATAACGTCACCACACAGTCTGAGAGCAAGCAAGGGGCCACAAAGCCAGTTCACACGTAGGTATATAGAGACATATAGTGAGATGCAAGAGTACAAGAAAAAGCAAGATGCAAGCATCACCATGAAAGAAAGTGAGAACTGGCAGGTACAAGTCCATGCTGCGTGTAGAAGCGGTGGTAATCACAAGGTGGGAGTGCCTTTGTGAAGACCCCCACAGTGTTAGCCTCTGAGGCCACACAGACCACGCGGGCCTATCCACGATGCTGTAAATCACGCAGAAGAAAGTAACGAAGCTGGGTGCGCTTCACTTTCCCAACCAACTGAGGCTCCTCGACCTTTTGTCAGCGAACAAGAGCGGGGGAGAGCGAGGCTGCTCACCAAGGTCGGTGAGAAGAAAAAACAGCCAGCGAATCTTCTGTGCAGCCATGGCTGCAGTGTAGACCTCTGCATCATGGCTGGAGCTGGCGACAGACGACGCCGAGTCGACCTCTACGAACTAGCCGCTGTCCCAAGACTAAAGAAGTACCCTTGTGTAGAAATTAGCGTCTGTGCATAGGCGTACGGCGAGTCTGAGTGCCCGGTGATTGTAACTGGCTGGCGTCCTCCAAGCACAAGTCCCATGCTTGATGTACTTCCAAGCTAGTTCGCCACCCTCTTAACAACCAACCATTGAGCAGGTCGGTGTCTCCCAGGTGCAACAAAGCGAGCTAGGAAGCTTAGAGGGAATGCGACGTCTGGGCGAG